TCCCTACACAGGGAATTTGCAGCTGGTCAGTGCAGTAGCAATTTCTGCCACTGCTGACAGTTGGAACAGGGTTACTATAGCAGGATGGGGCATGACGCATAATAGCACCCCTTGGTGACCTTGGATCCCTGCTTAACTGGTTCCTTGGTTCTCCTCTCTCCTTTTGCCATGATTTTGATGTCTCTTGGGTGAAAGTAGTGGTTGAGAGGCTGCCCAGGACCCCAAGGAACCACTTATCCTGCCTACATACCTGTTGTTCCTGGTTAACCCAGTCCCAGGGGCCTTAAGGCACTGGTAGCCTTGGTGTCTATTCACAACCTCCAACCTCCCCTACAGCCGTGCCCATGCCTCACATGTGATATCATTCAGTTACTTGCCTGTTGGAGCTTTGGCCTTCTTGGCCTCTGCCCCTTTTCTCTCGCTGGAGCCGTTTAACCTATGTTGGTCCTGGTTTCTGGGCTTCAGCCCCAGGCTTACTCTCTTGAGCTCTTATCTCTGCCCCTCTCAGACTACGTACCCCTGGCCCTGGTCTCCACCCCACTCTGGGCTCTAGGCTCTATAGCCCTGTCTCTGCTCTCTGTAGGCACTGATGAGACCTCCTCCCACTCCTATTAGTCCTGCCAGTAAAACTAACTAGAAGTCCAGCTAACAGCTTAACTAAACATACACCCACCTTGTATACGTGTAAGTCCTAACAAAAGGTTTGCTGTCACTTTAACTTAAGTAGCCTAGTCTGGGCAATTGGCAGCACACAAGCTGGCTCCTATAAGAAAGCAAAGCTTCCTTGGGAAAATCCCCATCTGGCCTTCTTCTGCTACAAGCAGCTAAGAACCCGATCTCCTACCAGGATTCCTCAGTGAGCAATCTCTGTCTCCTTCAGTGTGAGGGCTCTGCTTCTCTGCGGGGCTTTCTCCTCACTTTACACCTCTCACTGTGCTCTTCTGGGCACTCTCTTCCTCCCATGGTACTCCTCTGATCCTGCTGTTATCCAGCTCCTAGCATTAGAATCTGTGCCCAGTGACTCACTGGTCCCAGATGTCAGACTTTCTGCGTTCAAGAGGATTAGCCACTTCTCCCTCACCAGGCTGCTCATTCTTGGGCTGGTGCTTCTTATCTGAATATTCTGTTTGCTCTCATAGCGGCCCTCCTGACAAGCCTGCTTAGATTGTGGGACAGGAGTCTCTGGCTCTCTCTTACAGTTGCCAATACAGTGGGCCATGCTGGATCTTGTACTGCAGAGGGCATGAAGATAGTATCCCAACTCTAATCACAGCAAACAGTTCTTGGCCAGCCAGTTCTCAGCTGGAACAGCAGAAATGTATCTGTTTACTCATAAACCAGGATGATTGGAATATTTGTCATTTATGCATTCCTTGATGGTAATCCCAGTCTCGATACACTGTTCCTACAGTCTTCTTGATGCCCACTCCTACCATCTGTTAAGTCAGAGTACAGAGCAGTGTATGCTCTCAGAGTGGTCTGTCAGTTTTAGCAGGGCAATACTAGCTTTTGGTTGGCAGTCTTTTTATTGCAATAAAGCTGTGTCTTCTGCAAAACAGGCCTTTTAGCACTTGTTAGCATCTGTTATCAATTAAGTGCCAAAACTGAACATCAAGGCAGGGAAGAGGGAGACAGGGTTTGTTGGCATTTGTGCTTGCCAAAAGAACAGTTTGTGTTGCCAAAGGAACCTGGCAAACCTATTACAAACACATGGATGTCAGCAATGACAATATGTTGTGTAAAACAGACAGCAGGCATACTCTTCCAGGGAAACAGATTGCTACAAGGAGGCCAGTTAAAACCAGTAGAAGCAAGGTGAAGCATCAAGAGACACAAGTTGTGCATTCCTCCTGGGAAGTGATCAAACAGTTAGGTGCACCCGGTCCCATTTAGTATCTGATGTCCTGAGAATCTATGGAAGATCAAAACAAAACTAAATGAAAAAAGGCTGAGCAGCACTCAGTCTTGCTGTTTTGCCCCAGTTGAGCGCTGTGTCAGTGAGAGTACAAAAAAAATGGAAGCAGATTGAGAGAGGATGGTGCAGTCTTCACAGTGGCAAATAGCTACAGGAAATGCCGATGATCATGATATTTTTTTGGTCTATGGAGCCTCTTCCCTTCCCAGACATGGGCACTGCTGTTTTCAGCCCTACTATTTTCCTATTCACTTCAGCCAAATATGTGAATCACCATTTGCAACCACAGTAATCACAAGCAGGAGCTCAGCATTCAGTTGCAGGAGGAAGACGTATCTTCCATTCTTGCATCACAATTGGTCTTGGCAAAAATGCCTATAGGACCTCTGTTGCCAGAAAAAAATGTTTAAGTATTTAGCTTTTGAAAGTTATTACACTTACAGCTTCACAATGCAATGTGCTAGTATTAGATAGGTAAATGACAAAATAAAAAAGGAGCACAAATTATGCTGTAAAAAGGAAGGTTGCTTTCATTTTGTTCAACTGTTTTCCAGTCTGAAATAATGTAGAAGGCTGGTAAGGTGACAAACCCATCAGTTCATGAAGTTTTTGACTGGCAGAAAGACTAGTGCGCTATCACAAAGTTTGAATATCTTTACATTTAATACTTGCAGCATACTGATACAAAAGAAGTTCTGGCGAATGATTTGAGGTATTGGTGGCTTTTCTTTGGTGTCTTTGTTTTACAACGTTCAAGAAGAACTCTTGATATAAAAGGCTAAAAGATGAGGTGAAGGCAAAACAAGGTGTTCAGTAACTCTTTCTTTTTTCCTTAGGATATGGAAGGGTCAGGGAACATTGGTTTGTTAAGTGAGCCCAGAACCCCAGGATCCAGAAGACCACATGTAAGCTTTTAGTTCCTTGTTTTATTTTGCTTTGTTTTGTTTAAAAATGCATTCCTTCCTTTCTACATGCAGTCTGTCTAGAAGGCAGTTGGTGTCTTAACTAGTCCATCCTTATTATATAACACAGAGTTTATGTAGTACCAGTGTCTTGTTTTGTCTCTCTTTCAGGGAAAATGAGTAATATAGGATCAGCATCTTGCTCACACAGGTGTATGCCTAGAGCGGGGATGGGCAAAACACAGCCTGAGGGATGGATCCAGCCCACCAACAGTTTGAAAAGCCTGTGTGTGGCTGGCAGCTTCAGCCACTGCATGGTGCCAGGTGGGCAGAACTGCTTCCACCCAGCAGCTTTAGCCCTTGATATAGTAGCATTAGCTTTGGTTCTGGGTAAGGCGTCTGCCACAGTGAGCAGGCAGCAGCAGCAGCTGTGGGTGCTGCTGGCAGGTTCAAGAGCCCCGGCGCAGAACATGCTGGTAGCATCCACAGCTAACACTCTCCCAGTGCAGTGGAAGCTCCCATCTGGAGACCTGACGCGGAACCTGCCGGCAGCATCAGCTGTGGACCAAGGCAGGAGTTTCCACTGCACTGGGTGAGCAGCAGCATCAGCTGTGACACCATTGGCAGGTTCCACACTGGGGCTGCTGGCTGTGCCCACAGCTGATGCCGCCGCCCCCACGCTACAGTGGAAGCCCCTGTCTGGGTCCACAGCTGAGCTTCAGGGTTCCTGGTGAACTACAGCTCTGGATGGGTTCTGGAAAGAGGGAGGAAGACAGAGAGGAGAAAGATGCGGAGAGAGAGAGAAGAGGAGAGACAGAGAAGAGAGAGAAATGGAGAGAGAGGAGAGATGAAAGAGAGGATGGAAGAGAAGAGAAAGGAGAGAAAAAGGAGAGAGAGAGACAGAGAGAGAAGAGAAAGAAAGAGAGAGGGAGATAGATGTGGCCCTTGACAGGTTCTCAAAACTCATTAAGTGGCCCTCCAGCTGAAATAATTGCCCACACCTGGACTAGAGTGACTTCACTGGGTTGGTTTGAGTTACTCTCTGTTTATAGTGCACTAAATTATATTAGGATGTTTCCTAGAGAAATGAGTTTTAATTTCCTTCTGATTTTGATTGGTTTAGTTTTAGTTAATTGATTATCTGATCTGTTACAGTTTAAAAAATGTATAGGATTAGTGAAGTGTTTTTTTTTTCTTATGATGTTCCTTAATGTGTCTTGCCTCAAACCTGAATACATAGCCTCTTTCAACTTGAGCCTTCCTTTCTTCCCTTTTATAACCACTCTATTGATCAGGCTATTCAGTTTTATGACTTCAATTTTTCAATTTACCTGAAACCACTCAAGAGAAAGATGTAGGTATCAGTGGGCATGTCCACATGAGACATTTACTGTGCAGTTGACTAATTAGCTGTGCAGTAAATGGCTTGACATCTACACATGCTTTCCTATTAGGCCGGAGTAAGCTAATTTATTTTGCAGCAATTTTTAATAATAATGAATTTAATAATTTAAAATAATTTATTTTATTATCCTGCTGTGGAGTAAAAAATCTGCAGCAGCACCCGTGTAGATGCTGCCCTGGTGGCCGGGGCACAAGGATGCTTCAGGGCAGAGGCTGCCTGTCAGCCCCATGCTGAAACTCTCCGGTGCCCCAGCCAGCCCTTCTGCAGCACACTGAGCTAGGAGCAGCAACCCCAGGCTGGTAAGCTCACCCTGGGGCCCCTTGCCAGCCGGGGCTGCTCTGACCCTGCTCCACATGCTGCACATGAATAAACTGCAGAACTTAGTGCTCCGGAGTTAATTCTCCTGGGCACATGTTCAAACGGTACACCCAGGAGCAATTAGCACTCCAGAGCAATAAGCTCCTCAGTTTATTCATGCACAGTAACAGCATATGTAGATGCGCCCATTGTGTACAATTCAATGGAAAATTTTCTTCAGTGCATATGCATAGTCAAAATGGTGAGTCAAATGTTAGATTATGGGATAGAAAATAATAATGAAAATATAATGATATTAATTAAATCAGTCTTTGTCAACACATGAAGCATTTTGTTCAAGGTCTCGTTATCAGGGCTCAGTGGTGGGGAGCTACAGGGGGCAAGGGCTGCAGGGGGGTAGAGCTGTAGGAGGCAGGTGGTGGGCAGAGGGTAGAGGCTGTGGGAGGCAAAGGGGGCAGAGACTGTAGTGGGGGCAGAGGGGGCAGGCACCATGGGGGGGCAAGTACTAGGGGGCTCTGGCATGGGGGGACAGGCAACAGGAGGAACAGCTGTTAGGAGTGCAAGGGGCAGGGGTCATCTGCCACCTGCCTCCCCTGCTGCTACTTCTTTCCCTGCTGGAATAGGGCGGGGGATGAATTTAAGATGACTCTGCAATAGTTAGTTCTATACTTGGAAAATTATAACAAATTTAGAATCTAATTATTGGGGGGTCACTTTGAATTAAAAGTTATCTTGGATTCAGGTAAATAAGGTATTAAATCCTCTTGTACCATTGCATTAACCAACCTCTGACTACCCGCTTTGGATAGTTTATTTTACCACTGGCTAATAAAGTATTTTTGGTTTATTCTGAACAATCTGGCTACAGTCCACCATCTGAAACAGGAATTTGGCTACTATTCTTTCCATTTCTTGGCTACTGTTTTTATGAAGGTTCTGTCTAGAGACTTGATGCTTGCTAAGTCTAAAAACCTCTTCTCTTGTCTTGCTTCAGTCTCCCTTGTCCCATGAAGTCTTTAGCCTTTGACATTTTAAATTATTGATCTCTATGGCCATCTTCCCTATCTGCTTACACTATACCCACTTCTCCTTCATAAACTCCAAGACACAAACTGAGGGAGATAAGAGACAGCCCACGTACTCCCTCTTCTACACCATATAGGATCAGACCCATGGGCATTTATCGACGTGGTCTGGGAGGCTGGGGTGTACCCTTTAATTAGCGCAGCTCCAAGAGCCATGCTAATTAAAAGCCCCCAGAGCATCACATGTAAAAAAATGGCAGCAGGGCACTTCGAACTAAAGCTTATCGAACGAACTTTAGTTTAAAGTGCCCCGCCACCATTTTCAGTGCAGGGATGCTGATGTACATGATGCTGGAGTCTGCTGGAGCACAGTAATTATGATGCTCCAGCAGATTTGATTGAGTCTGTTCTGACACGCTAGAAGTACAGCACGTTGGAGCAGCCTCCCTGAACATGTACAGGAGCCCATTGTTTCTTTAAGTCTCCAACACTGCTTTCCTGAATTCTAACATTCTTAAACTGCTATGTCCCATGAACTGTGCTGCATTCATATAGCCTGTGATAAGAAAACATTGCTTTAATTTTCAAATTTTTATTTATTTCTTGCATAAGGGGCATGAGGGTTAAGCCTTTCTGAAAAGTGTAGTTCCATGGCCTCCTAGATGTGGTACTTCAACCAGTATCAGAGCAATACAGCATACCACTTACAATGACATGCTAAGGGAATGCCTTGGGCTTCCATTATCATAGATCTTCTTATAAATTCAGAGGTTTTGGTCACACACGAAAATTAATTTGCACATTTTCACATGTAGGTACAATTGGGAGTTTCTCCTTAAAAGCACCCAGAAACTAGAAAAATAGAAAAATTTCTGGTCAGGACTGAAATAGCTTGCAGTGCTACACCATTCAACCAGCTCTCTGTGGCTGGTTTGATAGCTCTATTAATTGTTTGGTTTTGTGAGCAGTGCACTAATAAAAACAAAGACAAACTTGCAATCAATTCCCAGCAGAGTCTAATTGAGACTCTTCATTCTTTTTCCTTTAGCAATTGTTCTTTCTTAAATAACTCAAAAACTAAATAATATTCCCTGATTTAAAACAACTTTAAAAAGATTAACAGCAAAAACTCTTTTCAGCTGGCAAATCTCAATTGCACAATCCAGTGAATATTTACAGTGTGACTATAATCTCTTTGAAGTCGATAATAATACTACTTGGAATAACTTTGCTCCCATGAGGTTCTGTGGGGCCTGAGGCTGCAGATCTTATTCAGGCAAGCAAATATTTAACAGCAGTATTATTAAGTTCATTGAGCCACTTGAATGCAAGTTTCAGAATATTGCCAGGGTGGGAAATGTTAAAATCCACCAGAGTTCCCTTTGAGTCTTCCTCAGTAAATTGAAGCTGGGTATGTTGAATCAGTGCATTCCCAGCTGCCTGGGTTATGTCCCCACCCTTCTCAGGAGGCACTTTGAATAGGCCTCCTAATGAGGATAAGTTTTCCATCACCACAAACTTTCTCCACTGCAGAGTTCACTCTTCAGGAGCTCTGCACCTGGCTTATCTTTAATATAAAGCAGCATAACTGGAGGAAGAGACCTGTCCAGAGATATTGTGACAGCCTACACAAAATATTGAACATTGGAGCTAGGATAGTGCTAGGGGCCAGTTTGAAAAGCCAGTGGCTGAAGTGGTCTGATATTTCACTAGCTGGAAGCCACAATGCTGAAAATTCATTTGACATCAGTTTCATTTTAAGCAAATGCACCATTTCTTTATGTTCCTTTTAAAAATAATAATAATGAGTGGTCAAAGCCATCACATTACAAAAATAATAATAGAAGTCATTAACTAGCAAGCAGCAAATTGCCGATTCCAACCTGCAAAAGTGATGCCATTGCTCTCAGCTTTGCTTCCAATACGGACATAATTTTCAAATCATTGTGCTATAACCAGCGCCAAAAAAAAGAGGTCTTACTGCTTTTGCACAGAACTCAGAAAGTTTGTTCTCCCTGTCATTTTGCATTCACTCTTCAAGGCCTTAGGTCAATAAAGTAGGCACAGAAATACTTCCTTCCAATCATAAAAATGATTCCAGACACTTGCTAGTATTGCATTAAAGTGTTGTGAGCTATTTATGTCCTATAAAACCTCTAGAAGTTTCTGGTCGTGTTGAAAGAATGACTCTGCTCCTAAGAACATTTTAATTAAAACCAGCTGTTAGGAGGTGTATTGTCTCTATTTGCCCTGCATTTGCTTCCTTTGCATTTTCCCTAGAAGGGATGGCAAATTGCCAAAAAACAACTAAATGAAAGCTGCACATAATTGTTTTGTGTGTAATTAGTAACAACAAAAACAAAGCAGTTGCTATTGGCTACATACAAAACTTTAATTCACCCTTTTATAAAGAAATTGGTTTAATGCAAGCATGTCACATTTATTTCGTGGCAAGCACTGGATTCTTTTTTAATCATGCTAAAGGGCTAGGCTGTAATTTCAGGGATCTCCTCACAACCTACCCACATATTAATAGTAAAATATGGTCTTTTCTGCATTAACTAAATATTTAGCTGCCATTCATTTGCTTAGTGTCATCATTGGGCTTTAGAGTTGACACCACAGTCAGATGAGTAAGGGAAGCTTGCACCCGTGACTCATCTGCAATCTCGGAAAGACAGCACTGTGTCTGAGCATACACCACCCATGAACTCTCTCACATACTCCAAACCTGGAAACATGCCAGGGAGGTTGGTCTGAGGCATCCTTCAGTAGCCACTTTCAAGACCTGGGTCTCCAGTTTGCCCAAGAGTAGTTACTGGGGTTGGTCCTAGAAAAGCCTTGCTGCTATACTCCTGTTTGGAGCACGTGATCAGGAGCAGATGGCAGGGTGGGCAATTTGGCAGCACAGCCCTCATGTGGACATGTTCTGTGGTCTTATCTGCACCTCAGGCAAATTACACAGTATTTATTATTCCTGACACACTGAAGGCATCCATGTTGTGACCCTTGCCACAGTTCACACACTTGCAGGATAACTAATTAGAGGTGCCATCCCCATGTGCCCAGAAGCACTCCCACAGCACAGTGTATGAAGGTGATGCTCAGGTATGTGTTCAGGGCTGCTCTAACCAACTATGCTGCTTTCTTTCTGGTTCTTAGTGAGCACAGAGTGGGTGCAAGGGGACAGCATGTACTTCTTGGCAGCAGTCCTGAGCATGGTGCAGAGGCACTGTAGGCATGCCCTCCATCACCATGTGGAGGTGTGCATCAGTTAAGAACTCCTTGGGTGTGAGCTCTCCACTGTTTAGAGAACATAACCACTCTAAATCTGTTTCATTTAAAAGGAACTGCTTTTGTAGCATTAGATGCTCCAGTGTCAGCCAAGGCTATATTCTGATGCATGCACACAAGGAGACTGAGGTCAGGCAGCATTGGCAATCTTACGTTTGTCATTTCCTGACTGCGGAGGCTGGCATTCTGTTCTTCCCTAATTATCCAAGTGGCCAGTTATTGGCAGTCTAGAGGGCATTTTTGGCACTTATGTATCCAACGGAATTCTTTTCCTGGATGTGTAACACTGCACATGTAGTAATTACTTAGCTGTGTAGACGGAGCATGCTCAGTAGCAGCTGTTGCCCATACACATGCCCTTTGTGGATACATAGTAGACTTAGATGCCTGAAAATGGAGTTATTCAGAATCAGTGACTGTCCGACGTATCCTCAGGAAGAGAAAAGGGCCTTCTCTGTGTGTGTTTTGCCTCCATATCCCAGCAGGCTACAGCGGTGGTTTTCATGCTGTTCCATAGACCCCTGGGGTTCCATGATGAATCATCAGGCATTCTGCAGGAAGACTGGGGGCAATGGAGATGTGGAGTGGGAGGCAGTGCACCACCATTGTGGGGCAGAGCTGCCTGACTCCATGTCAGTCTTTAGGACAGGGTTAGGAGTTTTGTGGCAGAAGAAGTGATATGAAAGGTTTCCGTGACATCAGGAAGTTTGAAAATCACCGAGTGAGAACATTCACTTAGATGCTGCAGTTCCTGAATTCTAGGCTCCCTGTCTCACTCAAAGGGGGAAGAAGCACTGCCCATTTTGCTTCCCAACACAACCAACTAACCACCATATGACAGGTTGGGTATTGTTCTCTCCCTTCTCTGATGCTCCTCTCAAAGCTGAACTACTAACATAGTATTTTGACAAAATGGATGGAGGACAGGACAGGAAGGAATCTTCCATCTCAGCAGGAGCAAGGGCACCAGCTAGAACCCAGGGTCTGCTCTTTTCCCAGATAACCGTTTCACTGAACCACAGCATGTGCTTTGTTCCCTTCCCCCTGGCCTCACATATCTCCCAAAGACTCCCTCTCCAGGTTTGGGGTGTCAGATGATTCAAGCAGGTGGACAGGACTTAGGCACCCAGTTCTGTGGACACCATCACTGCAGTGTAGATAAACCCTAAGTGATTGCTTTACAAAAATTCAGTGTGTATGTATAACCACTTTTCATCAGACCACTGACTATACCTGTGGGATTCGTAGCTCTGTCAAGTTTTGCCCTCTAACACTAACAAACTGAAGCAGTTTCAGCAAGAAGTCAGGAGGTCATAAAACGTGCTTTAAAATAGGAAACTGTATATTTTTCCAGCACAGATTTGAAAATAGTGACACCGTTTTGATTTAATCATAGCAAAAATATTGTTTCAGACTGAAGACAGCCTTTTGTTTCAGGCAAGTATGTAAATAATAGCAACCGCCTGAAAATAACTCCTTGAAACTGCATCACTTGGGTAATTTTAAATAAAGCTTCCATGTCCTCTATAAGAAAATATTAAGCAAATATAAGCAAACTATCATTGAAGTGATAAGACACCATGCAATACATGTCAATCAGGCTTTAAAATATTCTAAAATTGTTTAATATTCCAAATTTCCTTTATTGATAATGCAACTAGCAGACTTCTTTACATGGCTGTGATTTAGGGTTTTTTGTTCGAATTGTTGCAGAGAAATCTTATATTGGTTTGTTGGTAAATTTAGCTCTCTTTTGTAGGGTCCTGTGGGGGAGATTGGACAACGTGGGCCAATGGGACCAAAGGTAATATTAATTAGAAAATTATATTTAAAAGTCAGCAATGGACTGAACAGGCACTGGAACAGGTACTGGTTTGATGTATTTACACATTGCTAGATCATGTTTGATTTTATTCTTTTTAGGATTGGCAAACTGGTCAATCGACTGCATAGTTTTTGACTGGTCAAAGATTATGGCAATTTTTGGGGGAGTGAATTTTTTTTCAGTTTTCTTAACAGAAATAATTTGTTTTTGTTTTTGACACATTTCTTAATGGAAAATTTGTGGGGGGTTGTGTATTATTTGACTGCATTGTCAATGTTTTACAATTTTTGCCTGATATTTGACCAAACTTTATTTGATTGGTCACATACCCAACCCTAGTCCTTTTACAACACTCTGTAAAAAGGAAACTAGTAGAATCAAAACATTTCTATTTTTTAAAAAGTTCTAGTAACACTGACATGTCTAAATATGTTGAGCAAATTTTACATTCATTTACATTAATATAAATCTAGTTCAGAAGTTTTTTCATATTGATACTGGCACAGCTTGACTAAAGACACAATTAATAGTTATATATCACAGATTACAGTGTCATAAACACTAAACAACCAGGCTAAGATACTCAGATTTTGGCATTATACAAGCAAACTGATTTTCAGGGGTCGAGGGCTACTCAGGGGAGCCTGAAAACAGTGCTAGGACTCATGTTTAGGACCCCTGTAAGCCACCTAGACTTCCTAATTCTTGGGCCTAGGTACAGATGAAGGTTTATTTCTTGTCAGTGGTCCTAGGCTTGGAAGAGTAACAATATAAATGTGGCCCTAGATCCAGACCAGGCTCACACAATATAATGCCAGTGTAGGAATTAGGAAGGACACTACATCCCCCTAATTCCACTACGTGGAACATCCTCTTAAAGCAGCCAGTGCATTTATTGCCACTAACAATTACCACAATACAGAATGTCTTAAATGTAAGAGTCACAGTGGTGGGATAAAGAGAGAGAGGAATCATAATGCAAGTGTCAGGCTAATGTTATAACATAGTGATGGTAAGTCAATATTGTCTTAATGGCCAGGGACAGACATTCAAAAAGCCTGAGCCTGAATTGATTCAATCTTTGCAGGTCAGTCTAACCTGGCTAGGCTAAACTGTTTGGAAACTGGACAGATGTTCTCTCTGGACTGAGGAAATTCAGGCACATGCCTGTGGTGGCTCATCCTAGAAGCTGGGGAGCTCTAGGACAGCCCTCCCTTCCCTTCTGCAGGGAGTTGAGCTGAGCGGGGCATGGCCAGGCCCTGGCAGGACTCTCTCATTAGGGAAGTCTGCCTTCATGGTCCCAGGCTTTTCCCTGCTGGCTGCTCAAGGGGCGAGAGTGTTGCTAGCCCCCACACCCGGCCACTGCCATAATCTGCATCTGAAAAGGTCCTACAATTAAGGATGCCCAACTTTCACCTTTGGCTTGCCAACATGAAATCAATCTGATTCCTCATATACCATCTGAATATGCGTGTCATCATTTCTGGTGGTGATAAAACATTTTGTTAGCAACAAAAAGTCCATTGGTTTTTTTTTTTACAAACTTCATGTGGTCTGTAACCAGCATCTTCAGCTCACAGAGACCCCATTATCCCAGAACTTCTCTTATCCAGTCTCACTTCTCCAGTCTTTGCGCTATGTCACCAGATACAAAAAACCTTGTTATTAGGTTGAATCATCAACTTCCAGTAGCTGTCCATAAAGTAATGCGGCATTTCATCTGAAGCAGGAGTTGGTGGGATGCTGTATGATACATATATTCATGGGCATAGGTTTGAGTCTCACTGGGTGCATCTACATGAAATGCTCGTGATGCTTGCTATGGTGGCATAGCGTCAGCAGGCACTAACCATGACACTGCCTCTACTGCGTAGTATCAATGAGCCACTGCACAGTAGGGTCAGAAATGACCTGTGCACCACCTGGACTGCGCATTACCAGCAGATACTGCACAGTCATTTTGTAAAGGCAACCCTGCTTAGCACTCTTAATTGGATCCGGACAAACCGAAGCAGAACCGCACTAAGCGAAACCCATTTTCCCATAGGAATTAATGTAAATAGAGATAATTGGGTACTGCCGCTTCTCACTGCCACTGCTTCTCCCCAACCCCCCCGCCCATCTGCCAGCCACTCTGGCCCCATGTGGCAGCCGCGGCCCCGTGCTCCTGCCCCCCCCCCCCCCCCCCCCCCAGCCACTCTGGCCCCATGTGGCAGCCTGGGCCCTGTGCTCCTGCTGCACCACCCTGGGCCCCCACTAATCCTGGCCCCAAGCACTGGCACAGGCCCTGCACTCACGCCTGCCTGCCCGCTCACCGCATTGCAGCACTGCTGCTTCTCCCCACCCGCCAGCCTCTCCAGCACCACGTGCCAGCTAGGCACTGTGCTCCTGCTGCCCTGCACTAGCCCCAGGGCACCAGCATGGGCCCCATGCTCATGCCCACTGGGCCATTCACTGCCGCTCACCACTTCTCACCACCACTGCTTCACTGAGCACTGTAACGAAACTGGTTCAGTGCTAGGTGGAATCAAGTGTGAATTTTAAATGAGCACTATAGCAAAATAGCGCTAAGTGAAACCATATTAGGAGGGATTGCCTGTACTTGCTAAAGCAAATACTAAATGACTGTGCAGTACCAACTGCACAGTGGGGTGCATGTGTAGATGCACCCACTGAAACTGTTCTCTCTTAATTGTGTTGTATCCCAAAATATTTCTTGCTCACCCAGATTGCCACACATGCAATG